TTAATAATATATGCCAGCTAACAGACATTGAACAAAGTGTGTTAAATTCTGTGTCATTTTACTGTATATGAAATTTCATGAGACATTACAGGGCTATTCTATCACCAGAGGGATCTGCCCTAAGCTATCCTTCTATAACCTCAACAACACTCCTCACCCACTACTATCCCTAAACCCCCAGCAATCATTAATTTGTTCTCCATTTCTATAATTTTGTCATTTTGAGAATTTTGTAGAAATAGAATCATACCTTTGGAGACTGGCTTTTTTTCACTCAGTATATAATACACGTAAGATCCATCCAACTTGTTTGTGTATCAGTAGTTTACTTTTTATTGTTGAGTAGTAGTCCATGAAGAAGCCCTCATGGTACAGTGATTTAGCACTTGGTTGTGTGCTCAGTTTTTAACCCAAGGGATAAAAGATCTAAGAATCTGCTCTGTAAAAATTTTACCCTAGGAAACCCTGTGGAGCACTTCTACTCTGCCCTCTTAGGGTTGCTGAGTCAGTGTAGCGGCTGTCTGTGGAAGGGTAGTCGCACAGCATTGAACCATTCCCCTGCTGCTGGACACTTTTCCTAGGTGATTTTTTTAAAAAAAAAAAACTGTTACTAATAAAGCTGTGATGAGCTATCAGGTACAGATTTTCATATGAAAGTAATTTTTCTTTTTTTCTTATTTTTTTATTGTGATTTGAGTCAAAGTTTACAGAGCAAATTGGTTTTCCATTCAACAGTTCATAAACATATTTTTCCATGACATTAGTTGCAATCCCCACATGAACATACTACATCATTTCTATGGGAATAGCCCAGGAATACTATTTATAGAGTGTATGGTAAGTATATTTAGGTTTATATTTAGGTTTCTGAGAAACTGTTTCCCACAGTGTCTGTGCCATTTTCATTCCCATGATCCACATATGGAGAGATGCTATTTTCTCCACATTGTCTCATTTAGTATTACCACTGTTTTTTATTTTTGCTGTTGTAATAGGTGTCTGAGGAACTCTAGTAGCATAGCAAGTTGTGCTACTAACCCAAAGTCTGTGCATATCCTGTGGCTTGAGTGCACCACAGCTCTGCCAGAGAAAGATGGGTAGGCTCCTCGCATTGCAGCTGACAGCCTCAGGAAGTTGATGGAGGGTGGTAATGGATGAGTCTGAACCAACTTGACAGTAGTTAGTTTAAGTTTTTTTAGCATAATGGATATGTTGGAGTCTTTAGGTGGTTATTGTTGTTGTTATGTGCCGTCGAGTCGTTTCCGACTCATAGCGACCCTATGCACAACAGCCCTAAACCCTGTTCTATCCTGTGCCAATCACACTGCCTCTGACACACCCATCCCGATTGCCCCAGTCACTGAATCAATCCATCTTATAGAGGGTCTTCCCCTCTTGTGCCGTCCCTCCACCCTCCCAAGCATGATGTCCCTCTCCAAGGACCTGTCCATCCTTGCAACATGCCCAGAGTATGTCAGACAAAGCCCCAGAATCCTTGCCTCCAAGGAGTAGCTTGGTTTAACCCTCTCCAGGATTAATTTTTTTGTTTTCTTGGCAGTCTATGGTAAATTCAATACTTTAGGTGGTATATATAAGAAAAATAATGCATTTGTCTCCTAGCCAAAAAGGTTATACATTTAAATCTACCCAGAGACATCTCAGAAGAAGGACCTAGAGATCTAATCCCTGGAACTCAATCACTGAAAACAGGGAGCTCTGGTGGCTTAATGGTAAGGAGTTGTGCTGCCAACCCAAAGGCACACAGTTCAAATCCATCAGCTGTTACAGAGAAGAAAAAGATGGGAAGTCTCCTCTTGTATGATTTACTGTCTCTGAAAACCCACTGAAGGGTCAGCTATGTGTTGGTTCCAACTTGATACTACATAACAACAGCATAAACATATGCATACAGAAAGCTAGAGAGAGATTATTGACCCTTCATAGACCAAATCCAGAGAGAATATAGATGCAGCTTTGGTTTCACACTTATTAACAAAACCTTTGGAGTGTCTTTTGTCTCACTCTTGTCCAGGCTCCATTCTACTTTCCCAGAGGCTTGGAGGAGCAAGACCTTGCAGAGACCAGCTTATTCTGGTCATCTATGGCCCTCAAAAACTTCCTCTCTCTGAACTTTTTCTCTTCAGATGTTGATCACCTTTGATGACCAGTACCTGCTGACTGCTGCTGAGGATGGCTGCCTATTCATCTGGAAGGTCTTTGATAAGGATGGGCGGGGAATCAAGCGAGAGAGAGAAGTGGGCTTTGCTGAAGAGGTCCTCGTCACCAAAACAGACATGGAAGAAAAGGTAAGAATTGGATCTATCATTTCAGACAAGGGTCTCATATAAAAAGTTTACAGACTCCTACAGAGCCTCCACAAGAAAAAGACTGATTACACAATTATAAAATGGGCAAAAGACATGGACAGACTTTTCACACAGGAAGATATTTGCATGGCCAACAGACACAGGAAGAAATGCTCTAAATCCCTGGCAAGCTGAGAGATGCAAATCAAAACTACAGTGAGATACCATTTCACCCCCAATAGCAATGGCAAAATTTAACAGGACAGCAAGAAATAAATGTTGGAGAGGATGTGGAAAGATAGGAACTCTTTTACACTGTTGGTGGGATTATAAAATAGTACAACCACTCTGGAAGGCAGTTTGGCATTTTTTTCCAAAGCTGAACATAAAAATTCTATATGACTCAGCTGGGCTACTTCTTGGAATATGTTGTCATTTGTTGTTTGGTGCCGTTGAGTAGTAGATGACTCATAGCGACCCTATGAATGAACGGCCTGAGCACTGTTCGTACGTAGAGTTTCTGGAGGCAAGCCATTTCGGAAGTGGATACCGCTCCTGCTTCGAGGCTTGTTTTAGTCGGGAAGCTCCAGCCAACACTGTCCACCATGGGTGCCCATTACCACGATTGGCACATCACTGTCACAGTGTTCAGCATCACAACAACCACAAGTTACCTCTGTACAGCAACACACAGACCAGTGCTATACCACCTAGAAGAATGTTTGACAGGAAAATATACCCCCAAAAAATTAAAACTGAGGCACAAACAGAGACTTGTACACCATTGTTTATAGCAGCATTATTCACCATCCCAAGAACATGGAAATGACCCAGATGTCCAACCACAATCAAATGGATTGAGAAATGATGGTTCATTCACACAATGGAGTACTATGCAACACGCAGGAGCAATGATTTTGAAAACTACTACCTAACTTGGGAGGGACTGAAAAGCATTTTACAAAGTGAACTAACTTGGTCCCATAAGGACAAGACTATATAAGACCATTATTGTAGACATAGGAAGATAACTAGTAAAACGTGTGTGAGGATGCAAAAGGGGGGAACAGAGGGGTGAGGATGGGCAGGGGCGGGGGGGAAGTACTCATAGGATCACACAGTTTGGTGGGTGTAGAGAGGGGTGGGTAAAGGGAATGGGAAAGATCCAGTGTGAAAAACAATGTATACAAACTTTGTAAGTAAACCAGTACAAAAGGAGAATGGATTGAGGAGGGCAGAATGAGCAAGTACCTCAAACACAGTATATCAAAAAAAGGTCTCTCCCTCTGTTTTAGGTTGGATTCCCTAGAGTAGCAAAACCAGTGAAATAGACAGACGTAAATGAGAAACAAAGATATTCTGTTAAATTAAATTCAAGAAAATTGCTCACACAGTCATAGAGGCTAGAAAATCCCAAATCTGTAGATACATTTGAGCTGGAAGTTTCTCTTGACTCATGTGATTGTACAGTCTGATGAATCCATGATTGGCAGGTCAGACAACAGCCTAATGACTCACAGGGTTGCAGAAGCTGATGAATCCCCACACTGACAGATCAGACAACAGACTGCTAAGCTTCAAGAAGCAGAGATCAGATGATGATGAGCGGGATACAGGATCCCAAGCAAGAGAGCTTTGCCAGAGCACATGCAGAGAGAGAAAGGAAGAAATATAAGAGTCACACCCTGTAAAAACTCCCCTACATTAATTAATTATATGAGGGTCATGACTTGGGTAGGATATGACTTGATTGAGGATAGAACTTGTAAGAGTGCAACTCAAAATAAACCCCACCCTAATTCTGTCTCATTAACATATACACATTTAGGGAACTCTGGTGGCCTACTGGCAAGAAGTTGTGCCACAATCCCAAAGGTGCACGATTCTAATCCACCAGATGCTCTGCTGGAGAAGGAGGGGCAATCTTCTCCTGTGCCCGCTGGATCCAGTTCGACAGTACACAATAAGAAAAATAAGTAAAAGAAATAGATACACCTTTGTGTTTATAACGGAGAAGATTGCCTCTCTTTCTTCTGTGGAGTAGCTGGTGAATTCGAACTGCCTGCTTTTAGGTTAGAAGTGCAACTCCTTCCCTACTAGGCCACCAGAGCTGTCGGAGTGCCTGTTATGTGTTGGATATTCTTCTAACATTGAAATTACTTCAGCAAACAAAATTTCCAGATATCTCAGCTCTCCTAGACCTTGAGTTCTAAGAGGAAAAGACAACAGACAATAAAAAACAAAATAGATAAATTATACAGTGTCTTTGAAAATGTCATTTGGCACTTCCAACCCAAAGGCAGGCTGTTACTATCCATCATTCAGTGGCCCAGAGTGAGAGAGATGGGCAATCTCCTCCTGTGCAATTTATGGCCTCTGAAAAGCCACGGGAGGGTCAGCTATTAGTCCATTCTGACCAGATAACACATATCAACAACAGCAAAGAAGGTATAAAAGTAGAACAGAGTAGTTGAGCCAAGCTGGAGTGGGACAGAGAAAGCAACAGGAATAAGTGTGGTCCAAAGTATGTCCGTTGAGGTGACCTTTCAGATTTGAGGGAGATAAAAGATAAGCACAGTGGCTGGCACACAGTAAGGCTCTCACAATATTGTAAGACTACAGGAAGAAGATCTTATGTCTACTAGTTTGTAGCCCATGTGAATTACAGGGGAAAAGGTAAGTTCTACTTGAGACATATTTAGTAATAGGCAAGTATAAGCTACATCTGCCAAAAGAAATCAAGGCCTCTAAATGTAAATATTCTAGTTCAGTTGTACTGTGTATATCCTTGATTCACTTGTGTCCTTCTCCCAAAGGCCCAGGTTATGTTGGAGCTAAAGACTCGCGTGGAAGAATTAAAGATGGAGAATGAGTATCAACTTCGACTAAAGGAAATGAACTACTCTGAGAAGATTAAGGAGCTCACAGACAAGTTCGTCCAGGAAATGGAGTCCTTAAAAACAAAAAACCAGGTCTGTGTGAGAAACTAAACCAACAATCACAAGAAACCACAAATAGCCACTTGCTCAAGATGCATGTGGTACTGCTAGGACATGGGAGGATATAATACCTTCAGACAGTTGTGGACATCAGAAATGCTTGCCAGTGCAAAATGAACAAAAGCAGACTATACAGCTCTTACAGTGAATGGTACTAATTAGGTATATTATAAAAACACATAGAACAGCTTTTCAGAACATAGCTAAAAGTATAATTATCTCCGGAAGCTGGTATTATGGATAATTTAAATTTTGTTCTTCATACTTTTCTGTAATTTCAAAATTCTCTGCAGTGACAGGAGAGACTTACATAGATTCAAAAACACAAAGAAAAATATAAAAAGGGAAGAGCTATAAGAATATTGATTTTTGGATTGTCAAGAGATAAAACAAAATCTGTCTAAATGTTCTCCACATAGTTGTATTTGGTCCAAGTCTTACTCAGAATCTATTACTTTGTTCTATAAGAATATGTCTGCCTCCTGTCTAGACCCCTCAATTTTTTTCTCAAGGGATATTTGTTCATTTATAGTATCTCTGTGAATCACAGAGTTTAGCTGAAAAAAAAACCCCCTGGCTTTTAATTTTATTTCTTCATTATTTCATTTCTTCATGTAGTCAACTAGCATTTATTTTGTGCCTTGTAAAAAAAAAAAAAGCCAAGCCCTCTATTGGGTCCTGGCAATGGCACCACCTACAAGGAACTTTCGTGCTCAAAGACCACACTGTATTGGAAGCTTACCCAGCTGTGTGCAGACAACAGCGCATTCAGATCCCTGATAATAACCATATGCCACATATCCAGAACTGACCTCAGTACTGACATAGCTCACTTTGTAGAAAGGCTATAAGTGTGAAAATTTAAGACATTCAAAGCAGAATGTAGTACTGTATTTTTAAAAAGTTACAGTGAGCCTTCTTGGAACTTGGTGCAAAATACAGGCCTCAGGAATATTTGTAGGGGAAGAAGAATGTTACTTGTGATGTTAGTCCTTGCCCTAGGAGTACCTTCAGATGTGTAGAGATGAGAAAATCTGTATTTTAGGTTTTAAAGATGGAAAAAGAAAAGCAGGATATACTGCATCAGGAACGCATAGACGACCTCCTGGATAAGCAAAACCGGGAGCTGCAGGACTTGGGTGAGTCTGTGAGTAGAGGCTGTGTGGGCAGAGGGCAACTGGTGATAGTGGAAGAGAAAGGCAGGGACAATGTAACAAAAATCCTAGGTAATAAGACTTTGTCTAAGTATTCCCTAGAACTCACAATTGTTTTCACTGTACTGCTGGATTTACTCGTTAAACACTTATGAAATGTCCCTACATGCCAGAGCAGCCAGTGTCCCTGCCCTAGGTGCTCACCTTTCTTCAGGGTGGAGAGATAATGAATGGTCATTATATACCCTATTCTCCAGGACTTGCAAGCAGATAGAGCAACATGTGGTAGGACTACAGCACAACAGACATACAAAACCAACAGAAGTGGCTCCCTACGGACTGGTAGTCCACTGGGGAATTTAGAGAGTGAAAATGTCAGCTGAAAGCAGTAATTCTGAGAGTTGGAATGAAGTAGCAGTTGGTCCAAGTGTCTAACTCTGGTCTGAGAAGCAGTGGTGCAAAGAGAGCTTTGGTATGGCCAGTTGGAGGACAGCAAGTACACAGTGATAGAGCTGGGTAGAATGAGACTGAGTACACAGTGATAGAGCTGGGTGGAATGATACTGAAACGTGTTCTAAAACTCAGGCTTCCTGATGAACAGCACAAAGACTAAATCAAGGGAAGGGATGTGAATTAGAGACTTGTTCCCAAGAATGCATACAGAAGGAAAGGAGATATGACAAAGTTCAAGTTTGCATCCTGGTAGACTTCATTAGGGCCCATTTATTTGTTGAATGCCCTAAGGAGTCCCCAGCCTCATTGAGACTCAGTTTAATCTTCTGTAAAATGAGGAGCTAATGCCTACTTTACATACTTCTTCTTGTTGTGTACCCTCGAGTCAGAACTAGTCCATAGCTGACCCTCTGCTGCATTTTTAGAAGCAGCTTAATTGCATGGGAGGAGATTGCCCACCCTTATCCCACAGAGCAGCTGGTGGATTCAAACAGCATGCTTTCCGGATTGCAGTACAGTTTCTCATCACAAGATCACCAGATTTGGCCCTGAACCCCTCTGTACTTTTTATACATTTAAAAGGGGACAGAACTTGACTGCTTGCTTATAGAGCAGGGACCAGACAAGGACGATGGCCAAGCATTTTGATTTTGGCCTAGAGGCTGGTACCCCAGCTGATGTGGGAAAGGGATGGAAATGCTCCCAAAGCTCCAGGATGTCCCTATGGCTGTTGTTCTCTCCCACCTTAAAGATCCTCCCTGCTTCCTTCCAGAATGTTGCAACAACCAAAAGCTGCTTCTGGAATATGAGAAGTACCAAGAGTTGCAGCTCAAGTCCCAGAGGATGCAGGAAGAATATGAAAAGCAGCTTCGGGACAATGATGAGACCAAGAGCCAGGCCCTGGAAGAGCTGACTGAGTTCTATGAGACCAAGCTGCAGGAGAAAACCACCCTTCTGGAAGAGGTGTGTCTGGAAAGCTAATCGGGCCTCCTTCTTACTGTCCAGCCTGCCATTTGCAGCCTGCACACTGCCTGGGTAGCTTACGGAAAACATTCCTTCACCACATTTCAGCATACATTTACTTTGCTTCTACCCACTTTGCTTCTATATTGCTCAGGGTACTCAGTAAGCTGGGAGTTAGGCTTTTTATAATTAAATTCTTTGCATAGATCCTATTCATGGTTTTTGTCCTATCCTAACTGTGTACTTTTCTGCTTTAAGAACTGGGGAGATTTTTCCAGAAGAAAAAGCCTGTAGAATCTAGAGCAGAACAAGCACCCAAATGATGGGCAGTTGCCTAAAATCCTTTAGCAACTATTTCTTTAAAAATCAATCCAGTCATTCACTGATTTAACAAATACAAACAGCGTCCCATTGGTTTACCAGCCTGAGTACTAGGTGTAAAGAGAAACAAAGCATGGGTCTGGCTATTATTCAGGTTAAGGAGGGAGGCACAGAGATCAACATCTGATACGGAGATATACCCAAGAAAGTAGGAGGACACCGTCAAATGGTGCCTAGATTGGCCTGGGAGATTTGCAGAAGCAAATGAGATCTGAGAAGAATGTAAATTGGCATTAACCAGATGAAGAAGTGAGATGGGAGAGTGGGGATAATCTTACTTCCAGGCAGAGCAGAGTCCTAGTGTGTTCAAGCAGTTAGTGGTTGGGAAAATATATATAATTTCCTAAGATGAAGTAAATATTTGGAAATTCCTTATAGCCCCCCTTTTTTTTGCATGAAATTGTAGCAAGCTGATCTTCTAAGATTGTAGGAAACTTATGAAGGCTTGGAGGAAATGTGAAAGAATGACAAGAGGCAGTAAGAGAACTGGCAAGGGTGACTGAGGACTTAGCTGAGGTGCAGGTTGAATTATAGGACATTAATCGCCCAGATTGTGTGATTTCATACTGCAGTATTTAGCAACTAGGGAGGGGTGTGTGTGTGTGTGTGTGTGTGTGTGTGTGTGTGTGTGTGTGTGTGTGAGAGAGAGAGAGAGTGTGTGAAGAATCGTAGCTTAGATTTTACTAATAGCTACAGAAGAATCAAGATGTACTGGTGACCACAGGTACTGGCTAGAGAGAGATTAGTAAAGAACTAGGGGTCTGTAAGATAGCAGAGGAATCATGGGGCCAGGAAAGTGATGAGTTTGGGAGTTGGAATGACCATACCTGGGTCTGTCAAAGATAGGTCTATCTTGGGAGGAGGAATCTGAATTTGAAGGTTTCAGAGGTGACATCATTGAAGAAGAGATGGTTCTGAGAGTAGGTGGCTGAAGTAGAGTCAAGATAAAGGTAAAAGCACTGAAAACATTGTCCATCCTCTAATGGGGCTCTTCTGATTATAGAAAAGAGGCTAAGCCAGGATGCAGAAGTCTTCTGTAAACCAGGACAGTGACCAGACAGTGAGGGAGATGAACGTGGTAAGATAGAGGTATCACAAATAGCACAAACTTCAAAGAGTGCTGAGTGACAATAGGCAATTGAGAAAAATCCACCTCCACCTGAGCTGCCCAGAGTTCCAGGATATGAGGGGCATTTGGCTTATACAAGTGGTCTTAACTTAGCCCACCCAATCCAGGCCCATTTCCTGCTCTCTGGGTCTTACACCCTCATATCTACAATTTGGAGCTGCCAGTGGTCTCCCCAACAACCTCTAGGTCTCTGCTTATGGTCAACTCTTTTCCCAGGACTTCTCCTTTGTTTGGCCACTGTACTCATCCTAAGGAGTCCAGGCAAGGGCCAACTCTGAGTAGCCCTTCCGTGGGCGACCTCCTTTACTCTCCATCCCCACAATGCGTGGTGTCAAGAAAATGCTAATTCAAAAAAAAAAAAAAAGAAAGAAAATGCTAATTCTTCAATATTGGGGTATTGGAGGGGTCAGCTCTTTCTTTGAACTCTCAAGACACTCCCCCCATGTTTACACCCTGACATCATCTTTACTTCTTATCTCCCCCCAAGTTTCTTAAGGGAGGAATGGTGTTTCATCAAGAACTGATTTCCCAGGAACAGCACAGAGTCCACCTTTTAGTAAATGTTCCAGAAATGTTTGTTGATCTCCAGAAAACTGACTGAACTAAGGAACAATGAGTCCCTTCCCTCCTGACATATCTATCTTCTTCTCTACCTCTCCCTTTCATCTCCCTCTCCCTCTTCCTCTGTACTTTCTGCACCTCTCTCTCTCTCTACAGGCACAAGAAGATGTTAGGCAGCAGCTACGAGAGTTTGAAGAGACCAAGAAGCAAATTGAAGAAGATGAAGACCGAGAAATCCAAGACATCAAGACTAAGTATGAGAAGAAGCTTCGGGATGAAAAGGAATCTAACCTACGGCTCAAAGGAGAAACAGGCATCATGAGGAAAAAGGTACTGTACTGCTGTCTGAGAGGTCCTGGGGTGGGTAAGGACAGTATTGTAGAGAAAGCTTGGAGTCAACAGTAGCCCCACCCTGGCGGACAGCAGAGCTTCTGCCAGTCAGGAGGGTAGGAAGGGAGTGCCGGGAGTGCAGGGATTCTCATGTATCTTTAGGCAGACACTCTTAGCACATCCTCACATCCTCTGAAAGGCCAGCTCATTCTCTTTCTTTTTTCACTAAGAAACGGAGCTCTCTAAAACTTTCTAGGTTTTCATTTACTGGCAAGTAAAATTTAGTCAAAATTTTCAGAGAGAAATCTCTGATAGAAATGGAAATAAGGTCTTGTGGAGATGATGAGGCAAATGAAATCTTAGCCTCGGGGTATCTCCCAGTTCTTGGTTCAGGAGATTTGGGGGGAAAGGAATAGGCAGTAAAAGATGTTTCATTTACAAAATGGAAATGTTCATAGACAATTGAATGAGGGAGGATTCAGTTCACAGATCCTCAAGGATTGCTATTTTTCTCTGAAGAGGCCATGTTCAAAGCAAGCCTACATACCTTTCTATTAGAAATCATATTACCAGTAAACCAGAGGGCAATCACATCTTCCTTTCTTGGCCGGCACAAAGACGACTCACCAGCCATGACCCAATCTCTTTAACGTGGATGGGGCATGGACCCTCAGCCTTTCAAGAGCTGCTGTGGTCGTGGGGATTTTGCTGCTGTCTCATTCCACTAAAAGAATTAATCTCTAAAGCATCTCACTGCAGAGACACATCTGTAAGTGGAATGGGACTGGATCTTAGCAGATACCATTTCAAATTAGACCTTTGAAACTGGCCTTCCTGGGAAATTCTGAACTGTCCCAAGTTCTCGAAAAAATCTCCTTCTAAAACCCCAGATATGTTGAATGCTTTAACATTTCTAGAAGGTGGAGGATTTGATTACAGTTAGGCACTGGTGGGGGCCTCTTTGAATTCACAGCGAGTTGAAAGAATGGAGATTAATTGAAAGATAATGATGGGTGGTCTCTGTTGTTGCCCTTGTACCTCTAGTTCAGCAGCCTGCAGAAGGAGATTGAAGAGCGAACCAATGACATCGAGAGCTTGAAGGGAGAGCAAGTGAAGCTGCAAGGAGTCATTAAGTCCCTGGAGAAGGACATCCAGGGCCTCAAGCGGGAGATCCAGGAAAGAGATGAGACAATTCAAGATAAGGTGAAGGCTCATCCTCTGCACTCCCTCAGATGTGCCTAAGACAGGCCCAGGCAGTGAAGACAAAGCTTGGGACAAGGAGGGTCTCTAGTTTTCTTGAACATATTTATTTAATTTGGTGAAAAATGAGCAATCAATCAGCAAAAAAGGAAAACCAAACTCAGATTCATTACCATTGAGTTGGAAACAACTTATAGCTGATTCTCCAGTGGGTTTTCAAAGGCTGTAAATTGCATGGGAAGAAATTGCTCATTTTTCTCCTTCCAAGCAGCTGATGAATTTGAACTGCCCACCTATAGGTTGGCAGTGCAACTCCCTACCCAGCTCTCCATGTATATCAGGGAAGAGGAACTAATATTTTTGGGTGGTATGAAAAGTAAACTCAGCCATTAACGAAAATGATTGGAGGTCCAAGTCTACCCAGAGGTGACTTAGAAGAAAGAATTGATGATCTACTTGTGGAAAAAAGAAACTCAGCTTTTGAAAACCCTATTTAATACAATTCAACTCTGATTAAGGACTGAAGCCTTCAATATGGATTGAAGCTCAACATCAAGAAAACAAAGATTCTCACCATTGGGCTGATTGGCAGCTTTATGATACATGGTGAAGAGATTGAGATTGTTAACAGCTTTAGTTTGTGCTTGGCTCCACAATTAACACCTTGGTCCCAGCAGCCAGGAAATCAAGAGATGAATTGCACTGGGAAAGTTGGCTGTCAGGGACCTCTCCAGAATACAAAAGAGCAATGATGTCAGCCTGGAGACTAAGGTGTGCCTGATCCAGGCCATAGTCTTCACAATTGATTGCTATGTGTCAGAGAATTGGACAATGACTAAGAATAATAGAAAGATAATTGAGGCATTTGAGCTGTGGTGCTGGAGAAGATGTTGAATATACCATGGACTGCCAGGAGAACAAACATGTTCATCCTAGAGTGGGTAAAGCCAGGCTGCTCCTTGGAGGCAAGGATTCTGAGGCTTTGTTTGACATACTTTGGGCATGTTGTAAGGAGGGACCAGTCCTTGGAGAGGGACATCATGCTTGGAAGATGGAAGGATGGAGAAAGAGAGGGAGACAATTGATGAGATGAATTGATACAGTGACTGGGGTAATGAGCGTAGATGTGTCAGAGACAATAAAGTTGGCACAGGACAGAGCGGGTTTCAGGGCTTTTGTACACAGGGTCACTATGAGTCGCTAGCACCTCGACAGCACATAACAACAATAACAAACTGACTCACATGGGGTCATTGTGAGGTTGGAATCAGCCCTATAGCAACTAGTTCTGGCACTGTGTACTACACACTAGGCTGCAAACACATCACATTCAGTTCTATCAACAGTGCCATGAACAACCCAATTTTGTAGCTCCAGAAACTGAGTTCCAACTGGTAAATATCTTGTCCACAGTAATACAGATGATAGTGATGGGCTCTGAATAAGAATCTGAGTGAGCTCACTCAAAGACCTATGCCCTTCACTGCTCCAAGCAGTCAAGGATAAAAAATCCCCATGGACTGGTGACAACTCTCCTACCCCACTGCCCACATGGTCAAAGAGGGGCTAGCCTATCCTTAACCCTTAACTCCTAGACATATAGTGAGCTGACATCAGCAGAATGCCTTTGCAGGATACCTTTCTCACAAAACAAGACATGACATACCACATTTTATAGAACGTACATCTATCCCATGGACTGATATATCAGAAAAAAACAGATATATCTTAGGAAGGGTGTAGACAGAGTGCTCTTGGGAAGCAAGGATGATGAAGTTTTGACTCACATTCTGTGAACATGTTGCTGGTAGGCGCTATTCCTTGGAGAGGATTGGCGAAGGGGAGGAAGACCCTCAACCAAGTGAATTGACACAGTGACTGATGCAATGGGCTTTTGTGTGTCAGGACGTGTGAGGATGGTGCAGGATAGAACAGGGTTCAGATCTTTTGTTCATAGAATCACAGTGAGTTGTATTTGATTCGATGTCACCTAAAAGCAACAACCTCAATATGGTAGCTCAACATAAAGAATATATTGTCAATAGTGGACCAATTAATTAGCAGCTTCATGATAGACAGAGATTGAGTGTTAATAACTTCAGCTTGCTTGGTTCAATAGTTGACACTCTTGATGCCAGAAGGCAGAAAATCAAGACTAATTGTGTTTGGAAAGTCTGCTGTCAGGGATCTCTCTAGAGTACTAAAGAGCAACGATGTCAGTGTGGAGACAAAGGTGAGCCTAATACAGGCCATGGCCTTCTTAAGTACTTGCTATGCATCAGAGAGCTGGACAATAACTAGGAATGATATAAGAAGAATTGATGCTGTTAAGTTGTGGTGGTGGAGAAGAGTGTTAAACACACAGTGGACTGCCAGGAGAACAAACAGGTCTGTCTTGGGGAGGGTGAAATCAAGATGCTTTCTGGAGGCAAAGATTTTGAAGCTCCATCTCACATATACTTTGGGCATGTGGCCAGGAGAGATCAGGAGAAGGACATTATGCTTGGAATGGTGGAGGGACAGTGCAGGAAAGGAAGGGCCCAGGTGAAATGGATGACACAATAACTGGAGTGATGGGGATAGATGTATCAGAAACTGAGACTGGTTCAGGATAGGGTACGGTGCAGAGCTATAGTATATGGGATTACTATGAGTCACAGGTGACTCAATGGCATATAACAACAATAACAAGAATGGTCTCTGTCAGAACTAATCAACTTTCCAATTTTAACATGAATGCAAATGACTGAATGTGCTATTAATATTCCAATACAGCTTTTTAAAAAAATAAAAAAAAAAACCAACCAAAGAGATGGCACACTGGATTTAACTCGAGGGCTGTTCCATGGGCTCTGGGCTAAATCCCAAACTTTCTAACTCAACATGTAGGAACTCTTACTTTCCAGCCCTCTATCTCATTTCCCCTTATGAATGACCATTTTACACACAAGTAGTTATTCTAGCACTTTCTGTGCCTTCCTCTTTTACCCCTTTGTAGGGTTATAGTTGTTTGCCCATCTACTTTCCCAGATAAAGTCTTTTCTCTTTGAGGATGTAGAATCCCAATACTTGAAAAATATTTAATTCAACTAATGTTTAATGTATGGATAGACCTGTGTTCCAGTTACCATTGCAATGCAACAAATTACCCTAAAACTTAGTGATAACAAATGAGAAGTTGTTTGTTTTATTTATTCTAGTCACAGATTCTGTAAGTCAGTCTAGTACTTTATTCAGATAGGGTGTATAAAAAACAGGATGACTTTCTGCCTCCCAAGTCTCTAATGGTGTGCCCAGTCAATAATTGGGGGCTGGAAGATGCACTTCAAAGACGCCTTCTTCATTCACATGGATGACACCTTGGAGGGCTGATTAGGAAACAAGGTTTAACTGTGATTGTCTTCTGAAGCATGTCCATGTGCTCTCCAACATGGTAGTCTCAGCTGATTGCACTTCTTACATATAGATGGCGTCCCCCTGGAGCGAGCAGATCAAGTGGGAGCTAATTGGTCTTTTCTGCCTGTCTTTAGATGCTGCACAGCACCATTTGAGCTGCTTGTTTTAGGTTACAAGTAAGTTATTAGTCCAGCCGGCTACAAGGGGAGGGAAAGTGGATCATTACTCCTTTGCCAGGAAAGATCAGAATTTATATCCTTTGCCTCAGAGGGACTGTACATACCAAGGCCTTGTATTGTCTCTCACCTTCTCTCACATCTCTCCACCCTACCCCCAGGAGAAAAGAATTTATGATCTGAAAAAGAAAAACCAGGAACTCGAGAAATTCAAGTTTGTGCTTGACTACAAAATAAAGGAACTGAAGAAGCAAATAGAACCTCGAGAGAACGAGATAAAAGTGATGAAGGAACAGATTCAAGAGGTGAGAAGCCTCCCAGATTCTGTCTCCTTGCTGAATGCACCCACATAGCCTGGCTGGAAGGCAGCTCTCCTCCCACCATCCCTAGATGTGTGCAGCCTTCACTCCATAAGAGGATGCTACAAGGAACCTATGGCCCACCCAGGGGTTCAGCTGTGTGAAAGTAAATTGTTTCAAGGTTTCACTTACTGTAGGGCCTTATAATGGGCTGTGACAGTGCGTTGTAGGATCTGGGCCCTTAAAAGAGAAAAACCACAGCTGAGGGGCCTTCCACCACCAGAGGGCAATGTGTACTCAGCCAACAAGCTGTCTCACCAGAAAACTCAGGCCTGTGGATTCAGCTTGCGTCTTCAAACTGGAGATGCTGGCTGGGATCCTGTGTTGGCCAACTTGTTAGTACTTCATCTGATACAGAACAGGAAGTCATCAGAGGCTTTTGAGCAGGAGAGTGGCCTGCTTAAGTATGTGTTCTGGAAAGCAAACAGGATGGAAGTAAAGAAGAAAGAGCTTAGAGCAAGATTAGTTGGGCAGAGGTTGCTGAGAGCCCAGTGGGGTTAAGCGTCCCTCTTGTGTCCCCTGTGCTGCACCATCACCTTGCATTCCCTTAGGAAGTTTGTTCACCTGTCAGCCTCCTCTCACTGGGAAGAGTGGTCTCTGGTTGATCCAACTACTCCTTTTCACTTCTGTTAATATCTCCTCAGCCTCTCGACTCCAGCCTCAAGTTTAGTCTCCCTACATAGGCTAGAGCAACTTCCTCCCCACTCCCCTCACGTACCCCCACACACACACACACATATTCCCAAGGGTATTATTTCAACTAGCCTAAAACCTAACCTCCCTACCTAAGCCCAGGAGACTTTGCATGATCCAGATTTCATCTGCCTCTTCAACATCTGTGTAAGCTGCTTTCTCTTCCTCCAGTCCCACCAACTTTCTGACAGTACCTAGAACAAGCCAAATTCTATTTGTCCTGGGACTTCTGCAATGTTGTTCCTCTGCCTGGAAGATTCTTCCCCTACCCCAAGATCTTTACATGACTGACTTCTTTGCATCTTTTAGGTCTCAGCTCAGATGCCACTTTATTTATGTATAATTCACACAAAGTGCAGAATTTCTTGACCTCAGCATTTTTAATATTCTGGGACCACTATATCCAAAATAGGCTCTTGCCCTACCATCTTCCCCCTGTTCTGTAATTCTCTGAATGTGTGTGCTGAGTGAAGGTAACAAGTAAAAGATAAAGAGCACTGATGGCCTCACTAAATTTGGTTACCAGAAAGCCGTAGTGGAACTGGTCTGGGCAGGGAGGCCTTTTCTCTTGGAAGCCTTGCAAAGAAGCCATGTGGGAGTCTAGTTCCTTAGTCTCTGGAATGAGGAAAGAGTTCCCTAGCTGACCACACACGTGCCTCCTACCATTCTCAAATGACTTCAGAGCACAAAAATGGCAGCTCAAATAGATAAAAGAACAGAAACTCTTAACACCCTTTACCCAGTTTACCTGGAAGGTCAGTGTGCTGCAAGCCCTTGGAAATAACTGCCTCTTATTACCCTCTCCTTTTGATATATTACTGTCCAAGTCTGCTCATACTAAAGCTCAGCTAGGAGGCCAAACCAAGCATTGATTCTTAACGTGGATGTGTCCACACCCTCAGTCTCTCCACCACTGGTACCAGTTGTTGCCTGGACTGATAAATGGTCCAGGTGCCTTCCCTGGGACTTCTGTCCTTGAGACTGAAGGTCCAGCCACTTATTTGTCCTGCACTCTGAGGGTCTTCTATGAAGTTTCTTATTTTTAGAAAGGAGGCCTCATTTGTAGAGGTAAGATGCTCTGGGAATGAAAGTGTAACACCTGATTTAGGTATCTCTCCTCACATATACATGTTCTGGATTTTTGTTTTCTTTTTCTCTTCCCCCTCTTTCCTTCCTCCATCAGGCTTTTACTTTCTTTCTTTTTTTAATTATTCTAAAACGCCGGCTTCTTTTGGATGATTCAAGGTCCTCTTCTTCCCAACAGAAGTGTTTGCAGAACTCAGCCTTTTGTTCACCTTTTTTTATTCATTGAGTACAGCATGCCTCAGCCTCTGTGCTTTTAATATTCTGAGGTGGATAGTTCCTCACTGTGTGGGCCTGTGTTTGTAGGATGTTTAGTACCATCCTACTCATTATATACCAGTAGCAACCCTCCCCCAGAATGTGTAACAACCAGAAATATCTAAAGGAATGTCTTGTTGCTCCCTAGGAAGCAAAGTCTACTCCTCTCCCCCCCCCCCCAACCTCTCAACTCCTGCCTCAGCCTCCCTTAAGAACCACTGAGAGTGATAAGTAACACAGAAGAAAGTAGCTGGAGTTTCCACACTGGGAAAAGGCACTTGTTCTCACATTCTAAGCTGGTCTCCTGGTCCAGTCAGCTACATATTTCCCAAATTTTTCATGAAACTGATTGGTTTTTATTCGTGTGTGTGTGTGTGTGTATGTGTGTAAAATTTATATTTACAGTTAGCCAGCTGGACTCAGTTTAGATGATCCCAATTTTGTTGGCAACATCTAAAGCATCATAATCAGGAGCAAGTTGAACATAGGCCTTCTTCTCTCCATCAGGCCTAATCAAAGTGTTGACCTTGGCCACATCAATGTCATAGAGCTTCTTTACAGCTTGTTTAATTTGGTGCTTGTTGGTCTTGACATCCACAGTGAACACAAGTGTGTTGTTATCTTCTATCCTCTTCATAGCTGACTCAGTGGTCAGGGAAAATTTGATGATGGCATAGTGGTCAAGCTTGTTTCTCCTGGGGGCGCTCTTCCGGGGGTATTTACGCTGCCTTCGGAGTCTCAGCGTCTTAGGCCGCCGGAAGGTGGGTGACCTGCGGACCTCCTTTTTTTTTTTTTTTTTTTTTTTACTGTGGATGCCCTTCAGGACTGCCTTCTTGGCCTTTAATACCTGGGGGGCGGTGGGGGGAAAAGCAGAGGTAAAGAATACATTTCTCGTCATTTCCTTTATGGGACTAGCCTAATCTGTCATTGCTGATTTTAAGATTATCGAGAAACAGCCCTGAGGGTGTAGTATGTAAGAAGTCTAGCTCTTGGCTGAAAGGTATTCTGTTCGAATCTACCAGCTACTCAGTAGAAGAAAGATGGGCATTCTCCACGCGTATAAAGTGGATATTCTTTGAGACACAATGAGGGGGCGGGCAACTATGAGTGGCAGTCTACTTGATGACCGTGGGTTTGGTATAAAGAAGGAAAACCAGGTGTGGACTCTCATGTGTGTCCTTCAGGAGCCCTTTAGATTGAAGACATCCCTTCTTTCTCCCCACTGCCGTAGCCTTGGTGTGACATGCAGTTCTCTGTCATCAAGACCCCCATGGCAGCCTCTTGACTATCTTGCTCTCCTCAGTAGAATTGCTGCACCAGGTCTTCTAAGATGGCACTCTGAAGTGTTAAGGCCCTCCAGTGACTCCCTCAGCTTGCAAGATAAAAGCTAAGCTTCTACCTCAGTGCTTCTTTTCTTGGACAATTCATGATCCCATTGTGTCAGCTTGACCAGTCCCCCACCCATTGCTCAGGTGGGCCACTCTGGCCACCCTGAGCCATCTGATACCTGCAGGACTACACCAGGCAGCCCTGCCGTGGTCCTCAGACATGGCTCTTCTTTCTGCATGGAAGTCATCTCCCCGTGCTGTCCACTAATGCTGCACTACAAATCACCGATGCATCCCTCTTCTGACTACCACCTCTGCACACATGCTGTGCATGCCTGGGTCCTTTTTATCTCTATCACAGTGTCTGTCCTGTTCAACTTTAACTTGCAAAGTGCATTGGGCTTCTCTTATATATGGCCCTTCAGGCCTTTGGCTTATTTAGCCAAAAATAATGAGTTGGGTTGAGCCTGACTGTTTTACACAATTTATGGAGATTGGTCAGTCCACCATGAAGCTCGTGTAGCGTACTCTGTAGCAAGGTACTGTTAATCCGAAGGCTACCCATCTCTAGCAGTCTAATCCATCAGCAGATCCTCAGGAGAATGATGAGAAGTCTCCTGTTGTTAATGTGATTGTTGTTGTTGTGTGCCATCAAATCACCTGTGATTCATAGAGACCCTGTGCCCCAAAGCCCTGAACCCTACTCTATCCTGGGCCAATCTCACTCTCTTTGACACAGCTACCTTCATTACCCCAGTTACTGTGTCAATCCATCTCATGCACGGTATTCCTCTCCTGTGTTATCCCTCTAACCTTCCAAGAATAATGTCCTTTTCCAAGGACTGATCTCTCCTGGCAGCATGCCCAGAGTATGTGAGATGGAGTCTCAAAACCTTTCCTTCCAAGGAATAGCTTGGCTTCACCTTCTCCAGGACAGACTCTTGGTATGTTCAATACTCTTCTCCATACCACAACCCAAAGGCATTGATTCTACTTTCCTCTTTGATCATCGTCCAGCTCTTTGATGTATAACAGGTAATTGAGAAGACCATTGCCTGGAGCATGTACACCTTAGTCTCTAAACTGACATCATTGCTCTTTAGCACTCTGGAGAGGTCCCTAACAACAGACTTTACTAATACAATTTTTATTTCCTGACTACTGGTGCCAAGAGGGTTGATTATGGAACTAAGCAAGCTGAAATTGTTAACAGTCTCAATCTCTTCTTTATCTATCATGATCCTGCCTTGGCTCAGTGGTGAGAATCTTCATTTTTTTTTCTCCAGTAGTGAGAATCTTCATATTTGATCCATATTTCAAACTATAGTCCTGGAGCCTCTGCAGCAAATGCTTCAGGCCCTCCTCAGTTTCAGTAAGCAAGGTTATATCATCTCCATAACACAGGTTATTTATGTCTTCCTCGAACACTGATGCTAGCTACATTTTTCCTCCTACAGTCAAGCTTCCTAAATGATCTGTTCTGAATGATTGAAAAGGTATGGAGACAGGATGCATCTCTGGCACACTCCTTGCATGATTTTGAAAAATAGAGTGTTTTCTTGCTCTTTTCTGATGACTGCCTCC